GTACTATCTTATTATTCAGTTATAGTACTATCTTATTATTCAGTTATAGTACTATCTTATTATTCAGTTATAGTACTATCTTATTATTCAGTTATAGTACTACCTTATTCGGTCGCTTAACCGATCACTGCTTATATGGGATATTAATTGGGCAATGTAAACATTGTGCTTCAGCTTTAAACATGAATCGTTGTGTATTAGGGGAGACCAGGGACGGCTGCAATACTTTGACTTTAAAACACGATTACACATAAACTTGCAATTACAACGTAAAATTGTATTTATAGCGACAGTTTGTTGTACGAACTTGTTACCTATTTGTCTGAGATTATTCAGTTACAGTGGCCCGATCCTGAAATTCAATATTGGGAATAATATTTATATTTAATATATTAATTTAATATATTAATTTAAAAAAATTAATATATTAATTTAATATATTAATATTTAATGTACTACATTGTAATAGTGCTTGTAAGAAATAAGGTAAGTATCTTTATACATACATTTGTTATTTTCTTCCATATGCAGATGTATATTTTGCATTTATCTGAATATGATAGATGAGCGTGTTTCAAATGTCATTTTACATTATACATATATCTGAACATAGTATCTATCATATATTTTGAGATGTTTTTAACGTGTTGCAAGCGACCCTGATCTCCCCTTACTGTTTAAAGGCATCAAGTACTATTTTATTTGGCGAAGTTACAATTTAAAAGTGCAGTTGCATGACAATGATTGCTTTTGAAACGTTTCTACGTTTCGCGGATCATAACGAAATTTAGAAAATGTGATGAGTAGACTGTGGATCTTTATGCGAAAGTAATCAATCACTGATCAGTAGACTGCGAATTTTATTCACTTGTGACAGAAGTATGTCGATGAAATTTGAAACACTGGGACTATTTAAACAACCGAATGATATCAATACATCCTGTTCAACTTGCTACAATTATTAGAGAAAGAACAGAGTTCCTAATTGGAGTCCCAAATTGCCCCACAGATTGTGCATAAAAATAGACAATTTAGGAAGCGGAGTTGCCGAT